TCAAAATGAATGTTTAGACATCGCAGAACATAAAAACATCTATTGGCTGACTTAAATAAAATGCTTGTTTCAAGACAGATCAAAATTATTTGGGATGGAATAAGGCATTTCAGCTGGTGAGAAAAAGCACATTATACAGTAGAAAACCATGGCATGACCTTGATCTTCACCGAAACATCAAGGCAGAGATTTATTTTCCCATTATAAAATTCAGCCCAACATAACCATATTCTAGCAAGTGTTCCATCTAGACAAAATCCCATTTGGTGATGGGAAAGTATTTTCTTTGATAGCTTTCAACATACTGTGCTATTACATCTCTTTTTGCCTTCCATTTGGGTCCTCTGAACCCTGAGTGACCAAAACCCATGTGACAACCTCCCCAAATATGACATTACACATTCTGGTTCGCTAGTTTAATAGATCACTGCTTCCGAAAGAGGGGCTTGCTCTTCCTCTCCCTTCTCCCTTTCCTACTTTGCTTTGCCCCACTGCAGGATGCTTTCTCCTCCTTCTGTCCTTCACCCTCCACTAATTCACCGGAGCAAGCACCTGGAAAAGGCAAATACTTGGCCTCCCCCTTTCAACTAGGTGAGCTGTTAGACTCAGTCAAGCCATAACATGCATCTCAAATCACTCTTGGCTTGGCTTAAACTCGAGAGATCACAGGGAAACTGGGACTCTTCATACTCTTTTTAAATTTTTGTGTATCTTTGCAGTACCTCCATTTTGGGGGCCCAAGCCTTTCACCTGTGAGGGTTTTCTTGTCCAGTTGAAAGCTGGAACTGAAAACTTGTGCAATCACATGCATCCAAGAATATGTTGTAAAAAGAATATTAAAGGGTTTTTCACTAGCAGTCTGGTTGTGAAATCTGCAGCACTGGAACTGCCAACGCTAAGCTGAGGAGCAAACAAAAGCCTGGACTCAACTATCTTCTCCCTTTGATTTTTCACTCTGTCACTCCACTGACTTTAGAAGAATTCAACTTTTCCCTGAAGTGCACCAGTATAAGGAAGAAAAGAAACAGCTGTTAAAAGTTTAATGTTTTAAAACATTGTCTGCTTCAGGCTATTTAAAATGCTCTGACACTTCCGCTTTTGTAAAGTCTGTCACTTGATTAAAAATAAGTTATTTTGCCACTGATAAAACCACACTAAGTGTTACTGAAAGATTTATTAGCCTGCAGTAATATTTTACAAATTGCCAAGTGCGTTGTTATCCCCTCTAATATAGTCCAAAGCAAACAGAACAAAGCACCTACCAACCCTTGGCTCCATCAGCAACAGCTTCCCATCATGTAGCTGTGGCTGGAGCAGTCTGGCTTTGCAACTCTACAACCGCTCGATAACCAGCAAGCGGGTATAAAATATTGCTGCTCCACTCCTCACGCAAAGCCAGAGAGATGATACTCCGCAGAGGATAAGCACCAACACCAGGGAGCCAGCCCAGAGCCAGCAATGGCTGTAGTAGTAGTAACAGCCCTCCTTTTACCCCTCCTGCCCCCAGGAGTTTGCTCGCAGTACATAAAAAAAGTTAGTACGCCTGCCCTACCCTTTGCATTCTTATCTGAGAATTAAGGTAAGTATAAGATGCTCTAGAAAGAAACAGGCTAAAGATATTTTCTTAGAAAAGCATGTAATTTTGGCTAACACACAGATTTGGAATGGACTCTCCTACAAAATGCACAGTGTAATATAAAAAGGGCCAGAGAAACCGTATCCTGTTCCCAGTGTTGGCATCGTTCACTGACTTTTGGCAAGTGGCTTCTGGACAGAGCTGAGAATATACTGGAATTTTCAGTTAAATGACCAAGCAAAATGAGTCTAAAGGTATTTTCATTTCAGGGCAACCAAAAAGCAGATTTTTAATTAACTCATCAAACTGAAAATCCAGAGCATTGGCAACTGTTGCTCTGGAGAATTTTAGACTTTGTTGAGCCTTGAAAAAATGGCTGTTTTGAAATGGAAATGTCTTTTAAAAATGAAAGATTAAAAGATGTTGATTTTATTCTCTTCTCTCCTCATTCTTGATTTAAATAATCTTGAGCATCTGATCCATATCAACAACTCAACAAAAAAAGTCTGCTCACCAATGTGTCTTTTCCATGAGGTCAGTGGGAGTTTTACCATCTACTTCAAGGGTCAGAACCTCTTTACAGCACTTTGAAATTCTCACCTGAACTTTTCTGTGTCTCAGATTCCTCATTTGTTAAACAGAACCCATGAGATGCTTAATTTTTTGGCATGGTTACTCTGTCATGGTGGAGCAAACAATTTCAGACAATCATTTGTCAATAACAATATGGTTTTAATGGACTAAATTCTGTCCTGACTTATTTAATCACGTTCAAGTAGATGCAGTTTGGCAGAAAACAAGTCTGTGCAGAATTTGGTCCACCTCTTTAAAGTTCTTTGAAGTCCCAGATGAAGGAAGTGAGTAATAAATATGGCCCCTGAAACTAAGAGAAGAACGAGGTGTTCTCATTCTGGAAGGAAAATGAGCTTAAACTCATCGTTAATCAACACCAGAAAAATAGGAATAAATGCTAAGCCACAGAGACATAATCAATCTCTTAGATGCTACATGACAGATGCACTGAAAAACAGCAGCAGTAAAGACACAAAGAAACATAATCTTAATCTTTATATCTCAACAGGCATTTTCAGAAGACTTTTTCTTCCATTTCATATCCAGTAGTCTAACACCCCAAGAACAGAAACTCTAATTACTGTTGCGTGCTGAAGGCTGGCCAGTAATTATATATCTTCATCTTCATTAGAGAAGATGTCTGTGAATAAGGCTTGGTCTGCAGCAGAGCAGCTAAACTGAAAACTTGGAGATGCATTTTCAATTAAGAGCTCACTTTAAACTGGTGACTCATTTTAATGCTGCTCAAACCTGCCTTCCTTCTGCGGAGGAGGGAACTCCAGTGGGATGTCTGTGGAAGCCCCAAATGTCTTGATCTCCCACTAGTGCTTTCCTGCTTTGCCATAGGGTCTATCACCAGCATCACTGTGCAATATACGTGTAGTATTAAGCACACAAACCCTTATTGGTACATTCATGTATTTACAGTACTTACAATTATGGAAAAACTAAAAAGTTAGTTAATGAGTGAGTTAGTGAGTGAAGACTTAATCCATTAATTTCCAAAACACAAGACAAGGACCCCAAATTATTTCTTTCTGTTTTTAAACCTAGGTTCAGTCCCACAGTCTGCTATATCTGGCAGATTTTCCATATTCAAAAGGGCCTCATAGAAGAAAAAAAAAAATCTCTATTAAGACAGACAGAAAAACACAGTTAATCAGAAAATACCAGCATGGTGGCTATTCAGATAAATAGAAACCTGGAGTAGATTCTAAAAGGGAAGCATAAAAAATGATGGACTTTTAAATTACTGGGGTTCATCTTGTGTACAAGAAATTATCATGAAGAAATTGCTTAAAACAAGTTTAATGAGTGTCAACATTGCAATTTTTGTCCAACAAAAAAAACCTGTTTAGAAATAGCTCAAGAAAGACAACTCATACCCAGCTTTATTATTCAATTACGCTGTTCCAAGCTGTAACTCCCTCTGTGACATGAAGGTACTAAACTTGTAGGTATGTCTGAAACTCCCAGGTTTCCCAGTACCTGCA